CTCAGTTTTCTCATCTGTAAAGTGAACTGGAGGAGGAAATGGCAAGCCACTCTAGTATCTTTGCCAAGCAAATCCTAAATGGGCTCATGAAGAGTCAGACACGACTGAACAACACCCAATGTCATAAAGGTAGTAAATGGCAACTTGAATTTGAATCCAGGTCCTTTTACTATGAATTCAGAATTCCCCTACCCCATTTTACCACATTTTCTTATTTCAATAAGTAAGTGTTGAATTCAGTTGAGGTACAACTAGAATCCAGTTATTGTTTTTTTTTCCTACTTTCCTGGCTCTCAGTCCATTGGCTCCTGACAACATATCACCCACATGCTAAACATACAAGCTAACCTGGCTGTAACAGCCAAGGCTAATATAACTACAGAATTTCAAGCTTCAGGGGTTTAACACAGACTTTCCAGTTGTGTTGAGGCTAGAGGAAACTATTTAATTTTCAAAGGCCTTGTGAAGAATGGCAAGAATTAAGACCAAATGGCAAGAGATCTCCATCAGACCATTGTTTAAAATAGTAGATAGCAACTGAATTGACTTTTCAAATAGTAAAGAGCTAAACAGGCTGTTTTTCCTTCCCACTATTAAATCCCCTTTATTGAAGGGAGGCATAATGGGGGTGAGGGTTTTAGCCATAAAATTCAAGCCCTGAATAAAACATCTTAATCAATGCCTGGTAAGACTTTAGGTTCAACCCTCCCACACATTCTATAATACTATCTGCAAGATCACAGATTTAAGGACTTCAGAAGTCACCTATTCTAGCTTCCTCATTTTATAGATAAAGAAATTGAGGGTCAGAAAGGCCCTAAAGTGATTTACCTAAGATCACAGATAGTAAGCAGCAAAGTTGGCACTGAAGAACAGAGCCATGTAGCCAAACTAGCCTTCTTGCTTGTTTTCATGCATTTCTACATTACAGTTTACAAAGCACTTTCATCACCCCCCCCCCCAAAAATAACAGCAAAAAGAAAAACCCAGAGAGCTTGGGAATGAAAGTTTTATTATCCCCATTTTACAAATAAGGAAATTGAGGCTCCCGACAAATTGGTCTTGACTCTAATCTCTGCACTTTCAACCTTTTTTGGAATCCAAACCAGCCTTCAGAAGGTTCTCCTTACTACCTAGAAGTGGCTTCTGCTCTCCCTTTGTTAGGTTTGCCCATGCACCTCAATCCTCCTTAGTAACAGAAGTGCTCCAGTGCTAAGGAAGCCCAGTCACTCCCTGAAAAGTTGGGATTTCTCCTCACTACAACCTGCAGGTGAAAGCCAATTCATCACAGCCTGGTGTCACAAAACGATCCTACAACTCTGGTAAGAGACAAAAGGAACTGAAGTATGAAAAGCTCAGACCTGTATCACAAATCTCAGGTTTGTCTGCTGCTTCCTAAATCCCCAACCCCTCCCCTTTTATTTTCAGATCTATGATTGCGCGCACACGAGCGCACACACACACACACACACACACACAGAGAAGAGTCAAGAAAATGCCTTCCTTTGTTGAAAAGCCTGGGGACTTATAGGTATGAAATTTTGAATACACTTTTGGGCATATTTCATGTGTTGGTAGGTTCTGTTGAACTGCCTTTTTTTCTTTTGTTTTTACAATTTTTGTTACAAAGTATGGCTTGATAGGAAAAGGACAGAGATGAGATATTTGTAGAAATGAAGGAGATATAAACACAAAATATAAAACATAATAAGTCAAATATCTACAACTATCTTAAATCTCTAATATAATAAGCTTAGAGGCACAGTGGAGCCATACCACTAATTTTAGGGTTAGAAAATCTGAGTTCAAGTCACAACTCTGATACTAACTGTGCAACCTACTTAGTTGGTAATCTCAGTTTCCTCACCTACCAAATGGGCAGAATAATAACTGTCATTACCATGGTCACAGGATTGTTTGAGTAAAGTGAGCAATGTAGGAATGTGACTTGTCATTCTCAAAGTCATCAAGGAAAGATTACAAAGACCTGCAGAAGCAGCCATAAAATGTTATATCTAAGTCAATTGTCAACATAGAGATCTCAGGAGGCTAACAGGGACTTAAGCTTGGAAATAAAGTCTTCTACTTGGGCTTACCCCCCTTCCCTTTCCTATAATACACTTAAGAAAAAGAAATCACAGTGCTAGGGAAGGCTATTTAGGCAACCTTAATAATTAAAAAGAGTCTTGAGAAAAAAAATCATCTTATACAGGTCATTTAAAAGCAAGAAAATTCCTCAAAGACAGACCACTATACTGGCAAGAGCTGGAAAATTCAAACCTGTGAGTGATGAAAAAGACCACTCCTTAGACTTTAGGTGAGGAAAAAAGATACGAAGTTTTAGTAATGGGGTCAACTCTTCTGGAGTAAAAGATCAAGGGGTGGATTTAGAGCTGGAAGGGACCATAGCCTGTTCAGTCCAACTGCCTTTATAGATGAAGAAATTGATCCCAGGGATGTTAAGGAACATAGCTATGGTCACAGAGGCAGGAAATATCAGAGATGGGATTCAAACCCAATTCTTTGTCCTCAAACCCAGCACTGCTTTTACTGTGCCACGCGAGAGACTCTTCTACCTCTCCCAGGCACTCACAACTCCTGGATACAGATTTTTGTCCTGAGGTTGGTTTGTTATTGAGGAATTCAGCAGGCAAGCCTTGCGCCTCCTTTACAGAAACATTGGCAAGTATAATGGAGTTGTTCTGTGCAATAACTTACCCAAGATTTATATTAACAGCGATGTAGTTCACGAGTGAACAATGTTTAGCAGCAGTTTGGGATTCTATGCTCTTTTCCTGGAAACTTGGCCTAGGAAAAGGCTTAAGTTACACCTCTCCTAATGAAGCCAAGACTGTCCTATGACCTGGTCAGCTGCCGGTGGTGATCAAAGGGAGTGGATGCACCATGAGTTTGGAAAGTCTTTGCCCCCAACTGCAGTCAGCTGCCTGCTTTTCCTGCCTTGGCATCTAGCTACAGAGGCCCAAAGGCACATCTCTGCTGCAAGTCCTGGGGAGGAAAATAAAGAAGGCAAGGGAGGGAAAGAGGTAGGGAGAGAATCCCAAGGCCTGAGTAATGGGTTTGAAGGCCATACTGTCTGGGAATCCTTTGTTGTGAAATCAACTGTTTAGTATGCTACCATTCCTTCCAGCAAATGCTTTAAGTTTAAAAAGTCTGAGAACACTTTTCTAGTCTCACCAATACCTTAACAAGAAGAATCCCATCTACAAGCTACACCCAAAATGGTGACCCAGGCCTCACTTGAATACTTACAGCAAAGAGGCTGTAATAGCTCCCACAGTTTCACTCTTAGAGAGTTATAATTGATCAAAGTTTTTCTTGACATCAAGCCTAAATCTGACCCTTTACCCATATACCCATTTCTTCTACTTCTGTCCTCTGGGACCAAATATTTAGCCTGCAGAATATTAGATTGGGAAAGCGGCTGGAAGGACCATCCTCAAGCCCAAACCCTCTTTAGAATGACTGCCTTTCAAATGCTTTAAGACTGTCATAATACCTTTTCCCCCATTTCTCTTTCACAAACTAACTATGCACAATTCTTTCAACTGATTCTTCTATTAAAGGGACAAAAAGACCCTTTACCATCCTAGTTAGCATCCTCTGTATCCTAATCAGTTTTTTGAGATCCTTCTTAAAACGAGGTGCTCAGGAACTGAACACAATATTTGTAGATGTGCCCTGACCGGCACATAGCACAATGAGATTATCATCTCCATATTCTCTGTAGTCATCTCAATGTGGTCTAAGACTGCATTCATCTTTTTTGTTGTAGTTGTTATTGCTACATCATCCATTAGGTCAAACCCCTCGATCTTTCTCAAAACTGTTGTCCAGCCATGCCTCCCCTTAATAAAACACTGTTTTAACTTTGGAAGGTACAGATGGAGTTGAAACGAGTGTTAGGAAGCAGGGGTTTTGACCCAAGGTAACAACATGGAAGGAGGGGTCACTTCCTGTCTACATCATTCCTATCCACTTCTGCCAAAGAAAAACCACCTTCAGACAGCCACCATGAGGACCTATCACTATGGTACCCCTTCTTGGGAGCTACCTTTCCCCCAATCCTTTTTAGATGGTGATCTGTATTCTTAAGCGGACGGGCCACCCATTCTCCTAGAATAAATGTACAACAATTGAATGATCCTACATGCGTCAACTTCCTCCATCCCCACAAATGAACACCACTAGAATTCTTAGATAGGATTTTGAATATGGGAATGATTTCATCTGTCTTTTTTGGTCCACCCCCTTCAATGCAAGTGGAACATTAAGTGGGCTATAAAGAAGTAGCCTCTCCTTCTTACTCGTCCTTTGAGCCCCTTCTTTACACAAAATGCCTGAAAAACGTGGTTAGCAAAAACTCTGTTTTGTTAAGTTACACGACCATCAAAGCTTCCCGAAACATCATACTGTGATCACAGCATGGGTGTCTTGCAAATTGCAAGGAAAGCCAGGATAGCTTCACTTTCTTCACTTCTTTTATAAAAGATCTACCTCTCTGAGTATTATTAATGGTCTGGGGGTAGGCACAGACTCTTGCTTCTCCTGTTTTCCACCCACCTCTTTGGGAAATGCAGAATTCACACCACGTGCTGCTGCCTATGTATAAATCTCACTAAAAAACTATACGAAGTTAAATTTAGAAACCAGAAAAATCCTTAAGTTAGAGGTCCTGGTATCACAGTGACAACTGGCATTTTCTCATCACTCTCCTTCAAGGGTGAGAGAGTTATATAACAGGTGATCCAGTTTTCAGTTTCAAATTGTATGAAATATTGAAAGGAGGCAAGAGAAGGAGTAAGAATTCCAAATACCAAAAAGTTATTTGCTGTTTTCATGTGATTTTAAAGAACAACAACAACAACAACAAAAAAGAAAATGGTAATTTCAGTATCTTCAGCATCATTAGTCTTCTAAGGAATACACTTAGGGGGAAGATGTGCACATACATATAGAGCAAATAAGAAGGGTTCACCTACCAGGACTTTCTACCCGTTTGTAGTGGTATGGATTGATGCAGACCTCCTTCTGCTTGGAGCCAAAGGGAAACTCACAGCATTCCAGCGGTTTCAGTTCATGGTGGCTCTGAAGGTCTGGCCAGCGCCACACACGACAATAAATGACATGTGGCAGCCCCTTGCGGTGGGAGACCTGCAGCCTGCCATCCAGTGAGCGTGGAATGGTGACACAATTGCTGGGCTGCCCCGGACAGCTCAGAGCCTTTTCTAACTCCTCCATTGCGCCCTTCTTTTTCTTCAGTTTTTTGACCAGAGCATCGACAGCCTTCTCTGCCCATTTTTCTTCTTCATCTCCCTGTTTCCAACCCAGAAGCCTCTTCACAGCTGGGCTGGTAAAGGAGAACAAACTTGTCACATTCATAATGGAGTGTTTTAAGGCTCCCAGATATGTTGGGAAAATCAAGTCCTGGAATGTCCAGAAAGCAAGTCCTGGGAAGGACTGAAGAAGATGCTGAATGCTATTCACACCAGGTTTCTGAAGTCCTGACAGGTGGAAACTAACATTCCCAGTGCCAAAGAAAACCAAGATAGACTTCTACCCAAGTCCAGGACCTAGAAGAGAAAAGAGGAAAGGGGGGACAGGTTTTAAAAGTGTGCTTTGGTGATATTCCGACAGGTATCCAAATACAGAAGTCAAGCTGATTAAATAAGAATCACAGAGCAAAGAACCAATATTCACAGAATACACAGGCGCTACTTTGTATTAAATCTTACATTTCAGCTACTTAGAATTACGAGAAGGCATTCAAACCACTGCTGTCACTACTATTTAATCCAAAGAGAACAAAATCAGATACGTATTCTATATCCCAAACTATTCACAGCAGCAATTTTTGTGGTAACAAACAAAAAAACTGGAAACAAAGCAGAAGAGCAATGATTAAAGAATGGCTAAGCATTTTAAGAACAACTTTGAGTGACTAAGGCATTTAGACAATTATAAATACCCAAATTAACTACAAAGGACCTAGGAAGGAAGACACTATCTGTACCCAGAAAAAGAACAGATAAACAGAAGTATGTATAGGATGATTTTACACACACATATATATATACATACATAGATACACACACACATTTATATCTAATGGTAGCTATGTCTAGGGTGGGGGAAGAAAAAAGTTACATAACTTTAATATATATTTAAAAGGAATATATATTTAAAAGAAATAAATATAAATTTAAAAGGAGTATTTAAAAGTTGTGCATGATAGATTTGCAGTTTCATGTGCAATCATCTTTTTCCCCCTTATTCTACTATGTTATGGAAATGCTTGTTTTATTTCATAAGTTCAGAATAAAAGTTTTAATGGAATGGCTAAGCAAATGAATGCTACAGAATACTACTGGTCAAGATAAGTGAAGAATTCAGAGAACTGTAAGAAGACATATATAGACTGATGCAGTGTAGTTAATAGAACAAGGAGTACAACATGCTATACTAATATAAATAAAAAAGGGGCAGCTAGGTGGTGCACTGGATAGAGCACCGGCCCTGGATTCAGGAGGACCTAAGTACAAATCTGGCCTCAGACACATAACACTTACTAGCTGTGTGACCCTGGGCAAGTCACTTAACCCCATTGCCTAGCCAAAAAAAAAATGTGTGTGTGTATGTATGTGTGTGTGTGTGTGTGTGTGTGTGTGTGTATGTAGCAAAAGGCAATTGAGCTTAGTTTAAATGCAATGACCAATATTGTTTACAGATGACCAATGATTAACAACTCATTCCTCCCATTAAGGAAGTAGGAGACGCAGAGGCACAAAACGTTACATACGCTGTCAGTTACAAACAACTGTTTTGCTTGTTACAAGAGAAGGTTCAATGGGAGTGGAGGGTGTCTGTGAAATTACTAATTTTTAAAAAATTATTGTTATTCTGAACTAATGCAAAATAAAATGAGCATATATGTTCATGCATGTATAGAGAGAAAACAAAAAAAATTGTAAATAAAATAGTAGCTCTCTATTATGTATAGTTTGCTTTTTGTTTTTAAGCATATGTGAAGTTGAACCTTTATCTTTCAAAGCTGGAAATGATTATGGGTGTAAAAATAAAAAAAGAATTAACAAAGCTAAGGTAAAAGACAAATATCTTTCCCACCAATCTTTTGTCAGTGGTGACAGTACTAAAGAAATCAGTATGTACAAAGTTTGAAAGGGGACAAGGCTCATTTGTTAACATCACAAAATAACAGCACCTGTCATCTCTCAAAACTAAGGGGCCCCACATTTTCATTATTGTTATCCTTTTCCCTTGATCCCCATTTTAATTATTTTCAATACTCCCACCATGGTGTGGGACCACTAGTAGTGATAACACTTCATGTTAATAGACTAAGGTTCACACATTATGATGCCTTACCTACATTAACTCCTTTAGCTACCACCTGCCCAACCCACTTACTGTCCATATGCTGCCCCCATCCCAAGATTCTGGTGGTCATAAATAATTTCTGCCTAAATAGGAAATGACAGTAGGTCAAAATAGCCTGGATTCAAACCACAAATTTTCACTGAACTTAGGAACTTTTCATGGACCTGGCTTCAAAAGGCTCAAAAGAGTTTTATCTAAGTTTATCATATCCTTTTTGGGATAGGTTTTGGCATTGCCATTTTAAAATTGGGGAAGACACCAAAGAAGTTAACTGATTGTCCAAAGTCATCTGTTTTTGTTGCTGAGTCATTTCAGTTAAGTCCAACTCTTCATCATGACCCCATTTGGGGTTGCAAAGATGCTGGAACAATTTGCCATTTCCTTCTCCAGCTCATTTTATAGATGAGGACACTGAGGCAAATACAGTGAAGTGACTTGCCCAGGATCACACAGCCAGGCTTGAACTCAGGAAGACGAGTCTTCCTGACGCCAGGCCTGGTACTCTATCCACTGTGATGCTAGCTGCCCCAAGGTCACCTGTAATATTTGGTGATAGTTTCTCCATCCAGTAATAACTTTATTTTTCACCCTTCACATAGAGAACAACAAAGCCAGATGACACCTAAATGGGTAATTTAGTTACATATTAGATAGGAAATAAATGTTTTCCTGTTCTGAATGTCCTCTCTCCTTCTCTATCCTCCCTCCAAAGACAGACTACTTTGTTTTGCACCTCTCTAATGCAGCACTTACAGTGAGCAATGTCTTCTCCCATTCCCCACTCCCAGTAGACTGAAAACTCTATTAGGTTAGGGATCTGTTATAGTTAAACCTTGCAACAAACATAAACATTATTGCAATACAGAATGAGGAGTATGAGGAACTCAAAGATACATGTGAAGACTTGTATGAACTGATGCAAAATCAATGAAGTTAAACCAGGAGAAAAACACACACAATGAAACAAAACCATACTAAATTAAAACAATACTAAAACATAGCTCAACAAAAGTTAACAGAATGTAATGGATAATCTTGGTCAAGAGAACAAATGAAGAAAAATCCTCTTCAGACGTTTTAACCTAAGGTTTGTGGACTTTTTTTTTATATTTTGATAAGTATATTTCAACACAATTGGTTTCCTTTGTAGTATTTTATTCCATGCATTTAAAACCATGATTCAGAAAAGGGGTCTATAGGCTCCACCAGTCTGTCCAAGGGATCTAAGACACAAAAAAGGTAATGAAGCCCTACTGTGGTAGAGGAGAAGGACCAAGTATGGCATATGACATATTCTGGCTGCTGGCAGCCTACTTAGTTGGCTTTCCTTAGGTATTCTTTTTTGTTTGTTTTGTTTTGTTTTCTGTTACAACAGAAGGAAGGCTCAAATGAGGGATAGAGACTATAGGGAGATGACTATGTTATAGACAACAAAAGACACCAGTAAGACTTCAAAAAAAATTAAAATTAACTTTGTACTAGAAAGGATGGTGATATTGAGTTCAAAGTAGGTAATTACTAAGTGTTTGCTGAATTGAAGACAAGTTTTAGGCCCCTATTTCAGCTGTGAAAAATAACAGGAGCATTTTGCTAATGCTAAGTCCAATTAAGCAGTTACCTATTACATGACAAATATAATAAATCTTAACAACCACACCACTCATCACTGTACTACACATTTGGAATACCTACTTTATTGCCACACAACAGCTGGTGTGATCCCAGAATATTCTTACAAGTGCGAAAATAAACTGTCTAAATGTTACCAATAGAAAGAGCCTGAAACTATTCTCCTTCTGACTCTCTCCCTCAAATATTCCCTCAAATATACACCAGGAGTTCTTAACATTTTTTGTGTCATAGACTTCTCTGACAATCTGATGAAATCTACAGACCCCCTTCTCAGAATCATTGGTTTTAAATGTTTAAAAATAAAATACATAGGATTACAAAGGCAACCAATTATTTTAAAATACAATTATCAAAATATTAGTAATAAAAACAAGTTCACAGACTCCAAGTTAAGAACCCTTTGCCTACACCAAGAAAACCACACTGAACAGCAGGAGTTGGAATTAAATTCCAACACTGAATTAAAAAGCATTATTCCTTAAAAAAAGGAAGCTAGTTATATCAAAAATCTAATAATAATAATGCTAACAATGATGATTATGAGGAAGAGAAGGAATGGTAAGGGAGATGAAGCTTTTTACTTATTCTAAGTTTTATTAACAATGAACACCAATTCACCCAACTAAACTCATTTAGTAACTTTATATTTTATTCATTTCAATACAAATTAGCATAACTTTTTAGCCACAACTATGTAAGGCAGCAGCAATACATTGAAAGGAATACTGGATTTGATGCCAGAGGCCCTGGGTTCAAGTCATCTGCCATTTGTTATCTGTATGGTCTTGAGTCACTTTGCTTCTCTAGGCCTCAGTTTTCTCATCTGTAAAATGAAGGGGGTTGGATTTAAATGATCTCTAAGGTTTCCAGATCTATGACTGTATATCCTATGACCCTTTAAGTCTCTTGGAGGATTCCTCATCAATTTATTATCTTTTATCTGTTTATTAATCTATATTACTTTTTCTCCTCTATCTCTCCATTCTTCTGTTTCTGCCCTTTTCAGCTCTGCATTATTTCATAAAGGTTTTTCCTTTTGTATCCCTCATCCTTGTTAAGTCCTCATGGCACAATTGTATTCCATTCCATTAATGTACCAAAATTTGTTCCATTCTCCTGCTGCTGAATATTTAGATTGCTTCCTGTTTTGTTTTGTTTTTTTTGCCAATTATATATAGTATGAAAATCTTTTGAGCAGATAACTAGTTCTTTCCTGGTTTTCAACACCTTAGGGTACACTCCCCCAAATGGAAGTATTTATTGGCTAAGAGAAAGCTTTTTAGACGAGGCAGGACCCAAGCAGACTGTTCTATATCATTCCCCCCCACCCCAGCTTCCTTACCTCCCACTGCTTCAATTACCTCCATGATCAAATATAAAATCCTCCACTGGATTTTTAAAGTCTTTCACAACTTGGTCCCCTCCTGTCTTTCCAGTTTTGCTACATTTTGCTCCTGGTCCAAGTATTCTACAATCCAGTAACACCGTATTTCCTTGCAGTTCCTCAGACAAGACACTCCATATCCTCACTTTGGGCGATTTC